GCTGTGAAAAAAGTTGAAGATTAATGGATTTATGAAAGGTTACAATGACATTTAAACCACAATATATACAATACAACATAATGACTGTTACTAGGCTATTAAGCACAAGTAATTAGACTGTCTTTAAATTCTGTCTTTGGTTTTGGCAAACAGTTTATCTTTATTAAAATAAAAAGGCCAGAGCAAAGTAATTATATTTGTTTAAGGTGACTTAATGAACTTGCATGCACAATGCCATTTTTTTTTTGTATGCCCCCTCCGTAGCAGAGGGAGCATTAAGTGTTACCCATGTCCATCCGTCCCATCTGTCCGCCTGTCCCATCTGTTCGTCCCGAACGTCCCCAAAATTGGTTTCCGTTCCCTAACTTTAGTTTGCCTCAACCAAATATTGTAAAACTTATACACAATGCATATTACCACAAAACACAGATCAAGTTTGAAATTGTGTGGCAGCACTTTTACCATTCATGAGTTATGCCCCTTTATAAATATAAAAGTTGCTAAAAAGTTTCCGTTTCCGTTCCCTAACTTTAGTTTGCCTCATCCAAATGTTATAAAACTTATACACAATGCATATTACCACAAAACACAGATCAAAATCGAAATTGGGTGGCATCACTTTTACTGATCATGAGTTATGCCCATTATAAATGGAAAAATTGCTAAATCTGTCGTTTCCTCTCTCTTACTTTAGTTTGCCTAGACCAAATGGTATGACTCATACACAATGCTTATTACCACAAAACACAGATCAGGTTCAAAATTGTGTGGTGCCATTTTTACTGTTCATGAGTTATGCCTCTTTATAAACATAAAAATGGCTTAATCTCAATTCTGTTCTCTAACTTTACTTTACCTCAACCAAATGTTATGAAACTTATGCTTTTAATCACAAAACGGTCTTAACTACGTGAATCCTGCATCTGTATGTGGAAGTTCACTCATGCGTTTTTACAAGCGGGGGCAACTGTGGCCCATAGACACATTCTCCATTTTTTTCTTTTTTTTTAAGTATATGTCAAGTTTTCACTTATACCTTATTCACTACTGGTATTTTTTTTGTGTGTCTATTTCTGATATAAAATAACCGTCTTTTATAGCTGCAAAATAAGCTGTAGTATATTTTTTGAAGCATTGATAATAATCTAAACAGCTGTAAGGAGATATATGAGTTTTCAAATGATATTGCCTCCATTGGTCAACAAACACCTACACCATAATTGGAAAATTAACACTAGCATAGAGACAGATTGTTTTCTTCTCATATGGCTAGATTAATTGAATGTCAATATCATCATTGTTGTATTTCACTTGCATGAAATATGTAAAAGATAGAATTGCAGGCCAGGGAAATTTGTTGACTTATAACTGATTCAAGGGAAATAAATAATCCTTTTGATGTTGAATTTTTAAAGTACATAATTATGGTAGAAGGTGTGAATGATTAATACTCTCTGTAACCCTTAAGGAATAAACCTTTTTATCATAACCTGTTTTATTAGTTGTTAGATAATTAGAAGATGACTTACTTAACCAAAAGTCGATTGAAATTATATGATAGCTTATGTGGTTCTTTATTGAACTTGAGGCAATAAAACCTGATGCTTCTAACTAGAGGTTTTTTAAATCTGAATAAGAAAGCTTAGTAGCACACTGTTTTCTTTTAACAAATCTCGTGAAAATGGACTATTTACTGTTTTACTTTTTCAATGTTTGGAAAGTTGAAAAAAAATTGCTGCTTCAATTTCAATGAAAGATAAAAAAAAAAAAAGGGGGGGGTTGAGAATTCCAGACATATTATTTCAAAGAAGATGACCTTCGAATAATTTCATTCCAGTAATTTTAGGCCCTACTTTAGACAAGCAAATAAGCATGATAATGAAAATCATTTTACATTTTTTAAACCCCCATACAGACCTTCTGTATCATAAAGGAAATGACAAAGTACAAAGTATAATTTTGATGCAATTTTTTTTTTGCATTTTATGCATTTAATTTTCACTATATTAAGTTTGTAAGTTGAACAATTAGTCTCCAACATGACATTCATTGATTGTGACATGTTTAAAAGAGTACAAATTTAACAACTATAGAAGATTGAATTTAACTATGCATACCATTTGTTCACACTATATTGTAAACCATGTATAATTATGGCAGATATGGTGATCCATATGTTATAAACCCCAAGGCCAGGTATATCAGTAAAGTGATAATGACATAATTATATAGTTGTTCAGGTGTTAATATTACCTGAGATTTCTTGTACATATGTCATCAAGCCTTAAGTACTGTCCATCTGTTGTCCACTTATGTAATCAAAGAGAAAATAAGATTTGTTTATCAGAAATTATCCAGGGCTTTAAAAAAAGGGGGGAGGGGAGGTCTATACACAAAAGTAAAACTTTCTCTAAGATTTCTTTTAGCCTTCAAGCCTTCTGCTATTCAGTGATGTAATTCTAAGATAATAGCTGATTTTTATTTACCTGCAATAATTCAGGAATTTTCTTTTTTTAAAGGGGGAGGGGAGACCTTTAACAAAAAGTGAACTTTTCTTAATGATTAAGTGATTGTCCTGCAGTAGATAGAATCTTTTAAATTATTTAGACTTTCCTTCAAACTCCCTCTGTAAGTACCTGCATAGGCATGCTTCAAGGGGGTGGGTGTGGGTTGGTTCAAATGGAAGTCTTGCTGTTCAACCTTTTTAAACAACAGAACATGACAGAAATTGGAAAAATCCGTGTGAATTCCTTAGTGATTTCCTGAAATGTTTTACTTTGTGAAAAGCATTTTGATTTTTTTTCACTCTTGTTATACTTGAAGGTATACATAATACTTTTATGACTTCTCAAATTATCATTTATTAAATTGAAATGAATTAAACATCAAAAAAATATAACTTGATAATAGGTCTTGTGAGAATACAGACCAGAACAATGATCTTTGATGTTTTCCCATAGTAGATCTTACATCATATCTGATTACCTTATAGATATGTTTTTGGCACAAAAATAAATGGAAAGACTTTTTATTGCCCTTAAGTGATTGTTTTGAATGCATTGATGTCGTACCATAGTTTTAACTGATATGAAATTTCATTCTTTTTGAAATCCAAAATAGACGTTATTGCTGTCTTATTGATGTTCCTAACTCATTGACGTATTATTCCACTTCTCCTTTTTTTATACTCATATTGATGATGCCATTTTTGGATTCTAGTGCTGGGAATTCAGAAATTTTGCTTGCATTTATTATTAGTTGGTTGATTGTTCGTTGTTAAATATGTCCAGTGGCAAATATTTCATGCATGTTTGGGATGAAATTTATTATTGCGATTGTTGGACAATCAACACAATGCTCAATTAACAATAATAAAAAAAACATAGGAAAATGTCTGAATTAACGGTAGTTTAAACTTATTAATTTATAGTGGATTAGAAATAAGGCAAGTTATACTTATTCCTTTATACTTGGTGAAATACTAAAGAGCAATCCCTTAAGTAACATTTTACGACAATTTGGGAAAACAGTACTTCAAACTATTTTTTCTACTCTCATGAAATTTTACAAAGAAGAAACCTTATTTCCATGCCTTGTTCCTACTAAAATTGTTTCATTGTGTCTAATATCAACTGAATAATCTTGAAATAATATAAATCCACTATTATGATCATCATCATTGATCCCAATTGAATCAGAAAGATCTAAGTTTCTAATTCAATATTCCTCACAACTGTGACCTGACTGCAATCCAACTGTACATGTTGTTCTGTCCAACACCAGAATTCATTAACACGGAAAATTCTCATGATGGTTTTGTATGTATATATGTACATTTATCGATAATCTTTAGCAAAGGCCGCAGTATATTCAATATTGGTTTCTTAACTGTATAAAGCATAGGTTATGAATAACTTGTATAATGATGTTACTAACACTTACTTGGAATAAGAGCACAGGATAGATGTGATGGCTGGAAATTTCCAAACCAAAGCATGGACTTTGCCCTTTTCTGGTGATATTATTTGGAGATGGCGGGCAACAAAGTCTTTATTTTGAATCTGTGGTGTCAAATGAAATGCAGCAATAAATTTTTTTAGATGCATGAGGGGTTCATCAATGTTATTTTTAAGTTGTAAATATTTGCAGTTGTATCACTATTGCAAACGTAATTGACTATTTGTTTTAAATCTGTGTTGCCTGATTTGGATTGCAACAAAAACATTTTTAATGCATTCTGCATGTTAATCCTTTGATAAGTTTTTTTGTTCTAATGTTAAATTGTTACATTTTTATAAGTCAAATGAGTTTTAACAAGAAACAGAATCTTGTAGGTGAGTGTATTGATCTGGACTATATTTCTGTATTAAAAATGGTAATTTACACATGTATGAATAATTTATCAATTTTCCCAATACATCCAAGGTTTCAGTACTACTATGTGTGTTTATATAGTAACTACCTCATCGTTGTATAAACTATCACATTCTTATGATCAACAGTGTCGGACAGATGGAGTTGGTCAAAATTAATCATTTGTAAAAGTCATGTTTGGTATTATATCTGATTGGTACAGTGTACGGTGGGTTTGGATTTTATGCTATATTCTATTTAAGGTCACTACTTTCCTTTTTGAAATTTCAAAAAGATTTTTACAAAATATGATTATTATTTCATATTATGTACACGTATTTTTAGCTTCATTATGTTCTTTTATTGCTATAAAGAAAATCAGAATATTTTCAGTGCTATATTTAGACTGCATTAATGCAGTTGTCATATTTATCTACAATTAGTGGTGCTTATTGTAATGTTTAGAATATGATGCAATTAGATTGAGGTTTCAAATTGTTGACTAAATACTTAAATAATTTATTTGCTTGACTATGGAAGATTAGGGTTAAAAACTGTGCTATTAGTTTTCTGACTGATCTTGTTTCATTATTCACATTTCAAGCTTGATTCTTTAATATTTACTTATGTTTTTGTTTTTTTTATAGAAATATGAAGACTTGTCACAAAAATGGGACCAAGCCAAGTCAGAAGTAAGACAAGATGATTATGAACAGTTGAAACGCAAAATTGGACTACAGCAAGAATTAATACGCAGACAAGACACATTAATCGAGCAAAGAAGAGCTCAACAACAGCAAGAATTACAACAGGTATTTTTTTTTTTTAAATACTCCTAATTTGTTGAACGATTTAAATTCTTGGTACTCTAAATAATTATAAGAAAGGGAGGGCACTCAAATTATCTCCCTTTGCCATTGTTGTAAGGATTTTGTCTTCCTATATGTCTTGTTGCTGTTGTGATATAAATGGAAACTAATATGTTTATTTTGTTATATCTAGAACTGATTTTGTGACCCATAAATTTTTTTTTATTTTTACACCTTGTATTTACACGATAATACATTCTAGTTGTCATGCAAGCTTAGATATGATCGCTGATTATAAGGGAGCTAAAAGTATTAAAATCTGGTATCTGATATGAAATATTTCCATAAAGGAAAATTTTTCTCTTGTGGATTAATTTTGACTTTTAAGTATTTTATAGGAATGAACTCTAACAATGGCATAAAATTGTTTTGTGTGTTAGCTTTTATCCTTTATAGATTTCACTTTAGATAGTGCAATGGAAATAGATTTCAACTTCATATTTATTAGTAAATTTGATTTCGCCGTAATCATTTGTAGAAAACTGTTTGCCAAGTCTTGAATGTGTTGCTGTTGTCTCCTCCAAATCAATTGGGAGAAATGCTTTAAATCACATTTAGCGTTTTATTTCAGTAAAGAATTAAAAATACGGGGAGAAAATTAAATTTCAGATGAAAATGATGTCATCTATTTAAGAGATTGACATTTTTTTTTCTCCAGTGCTTAAAGTGGTATGATAAATTCTCAGATTGTTTTACATGTACAAAGATTGTGTGAATTGTAAAGTGACTAACTGATGCGCTGATTGGTATTGATATTTTTCAACAATTTACCATTACATCTGCTATAGATACAAGGTTAATCTTCAGTAGTGTAAACGTAATTATGTATTATAGAGCTAGGACTCCAAGCAAAACTGTTGGTTCTGTGGTTAACCTATTCAGAGCAATATATAGTTATGATTGTAAAACCTCGTTGATGATCTAGATCTATAGCCTGACACTTTATTTGATTTCTTTACAGTAATTCTCAAATTGTATGGATGTCTGATTAGAACGGTTAGAAATTTAATTATGTAATTGTCTTATATCAAAACCAGTTATGGAAACGACTATATCTAGTTCAAGGACTACAGATATGGTTACAAGAAAAACTTATGTGGTGACAGGTATTTCTTATATATTGACTTGAGGTTTTTATTGTGCATTGATCTTGAGAACGCCTGTTGTTGTCAGATTAAAATTTTCAAATCTAGCAGTTGGTCATTCAGTAACCTTTTGAGTGTTGCTTTTTGAAATGCTTTTATCTCTTTAAGTTGGAGCCTGCCACCATAGATTGAAATGCCCCAGTTAACAAACCAAGATGTATTTGCTATTTGCTTTTAAGGTTAGATATTTAACCCACTTCATCATCATGTCCTTGATGAAGCAGTTTATTAACATTCTTCTTTTGTTTCTGTGTTGTTTTAAATAAGTGTCCTTTAGGATTCTGGTCTCAAGTGGTGAATAGATTTTAAGGAGAAAATTTGTCTAGCACCATTTGAAATCAGTGCTCCTGGAGTTTGACAGATCTTCTGCAGTTCTTTGTTTCCTGTTTCGTCTGTTGTGAACAATATTTATGTCAATATCATCATTGTATTACATATGATAGGGTTTCATTTAAGTCTTATCTTTTTTTGCATGGCTTCAATTTCATTCATTATTGTTGACATCTTGTAGTTAGCCTCACTTTCAAAATTTCAGGAATGCAAGCTTGTCAGTTTCCTCTGTTGGACAGTAGCGATTAAATAAGGTTACTTGATAGCTAAAGATTGTAGACATTGTGAAAAATAACCTGGACACAAATATTATTTAATTTTTCACAGATTCATATACATTACCAATATTAACTTTCTAGCTATGATGAATAACCACAGTTCAGACTTTTTGGGCTAGATATCACTTAGATAATAATTTTGTAGATTTGCATTGTTTACAGTTTCCTATTGTATTTCATTTGTTGCAAGTTGCATTAGAATCAACTACATAAAACTGGTCATTAATTTTCTTATTAGGATTACTGCATTTCTATTTATGGATAACATTACAGATGGTTACATTCCAAGATCAATACAATACTGTATACGGTATATGGAATGTATTCATCTCTCTCATGTATATCTTCATAGTATAAAATATTTCCGACCTTCCATCTTTTTCTATGTAAATAGATCACAGTGATTGGGTTAATGCAGTTGTCAATTTTCAGATTCATCACTTTTTAGTAATGGTATTTTTGGGGAAGAAAATTAGATTTGATTGTTCCAATAAACATTCTCTTTCTTTACATTACATTTTATCAGGGAAAACAGATCGTTTTGTGGCATACTTCTAGGTCATTTTAACGAATCGATACATATATTGATCTTTGGTTTTTCTCTATCTATAAAAACCAGTCTTCTGCATCATTCTTTACTTAATTGTAGCATCTTCTATAATCTGCCGGTACTAGAATGGACATGTAAATAACATAAGTTGACCCCAGAAAATAAATCACCAACAATCATTAGGCAGTCTGCGATTCTCTAACTTGAATGGACGGGCAAATTTAAGATTATTTCCTCGTCTGGGTATCATTTATTTAATTGTTTTGCATTCATGCTCCTCCACCCACTGAATTCTGTTCAACGTGTTATTTAATTTCTCATTGAAGTTGGTATTAAGGTAGATTGTTGTAATCGGTACATCAAACTGCCTTTTGTCCAAATATTTGTTTAAGAATCATTCATGTTACACAATGGAAACAATTGAATATAATGTCATGGTACAAAAGATTAAACAAGCTACATTTTATTTGAGTTGAATAAATTTAATCTTGGATGTATGTATCTTGATAAGAAAATTACAGCAAAAATAACGTTTGAATTATTTTTTGTGAGAAAAATCCGTTAAGAATAAAGATTAGCATAATTATGCATGAAATTTTAAACGATCATCAAATTTATGTAAAAGAAAAAAATTATCATGAATACATAAGAGAAGCTTTGCAGTAAGCCTTTAAAACTTTATAAGATAAGCGATACTAGGAAATTCTAAATTATGTGTTAAGGCACTTCCGGAAATTTCAAAATGTTGAGATATAAAGTAGTGGAAATAAAGCTAAAGCAGGGAATTGATGATTTCCAATTTTCTATGATTATCGCCAGTAGGGGATAACTGTTGAATGGTGAGAATGATCTAAAACATTCAATTGATCTGATATTGTGCCATTGATCCATTATCCGTGTTGAATACACGAGGACTCGAAATAAAAACCAGCCAGAGTCAGAACACTTGAAATTCACATTTCTTTTCATTTCGACTCCAGTCAATTGAAATACCGCCATGCATCTGGGGATTTCATCCTGAATATTTTATTGCTGTCTTTTTCAATAAACTCGTCAAACCCAACATTGTTATGCTGTGTCATTTAGCACATTGGTTGATGGTTTCCAATGTATCGCATTATTTAGCTTGATATGAAAGTACGATATTGTTGATTCTCTAAGGACGTAGAGTATTGGAGAAGTTTAACTATTGATTACTGGGTTATTAAACAGATCTCAGAATGACAAGGAATCGTGGAGAGCCACAGGTAGGTGAACGTTTGTATTTTGATGTTTCTTGAAAGCTTTTCGTCATTAAATTGGCATGATATTACAGTTTTGTGGTTTCCTTAAACGCATGCATTTGATCTTTTTGTCAAAGAATATAATTGTTGGAATTAACATCAATTTTAATCATTTCTAATCATCGCATGACAAGAATGTTAACTTGAAATAATTTTTATTTATAACTTTAATTGTAAGCAAAAAAATTTTAGACTTTAGATTTGTTAGACTATAGTACTTGTTTAATAAAAGTCGAGACAATTTTTTTTATATCCATTTTGATTTTGTCTTAAGAAATTTGCCAAGTATGAAATCTAAAGGTTTAAAACCTATGCTAGTAGCTAAGAACTGATAGTTATGTGGAGGTAATGCAATCTTCTACTGAGAAATAAAGAATGATCTTAAAAGTATAATCTACAATTAAAACTTAAATTACTTAGTACCTGTTAATATTACAGATTTTTTTTACAGATGCTTTGTTTCTATTGAATTGGGTCACAAAATTTTGAAAATGCTCCTATTTGGTCCTTATGTTGTGTTGGGTGTCTGTCTCATTGACATTTACACAGTATTGTTTATTTTTCAATGCTTGATTTTAATTTATTTTCAAGGAAATTTTGAGGGGATTTAAAAAAAAAATTTTAATAATTAAATTTGAAAATGGAATATTATGTTTTTTCTATGATATAGGATGAGTTTCCTAATGTAGCTTTATAACTTTTATAAATATACCATGTGGATTTTTATCCTTTTTGCCTTTGACCGGTCTCAAGTAAAGCTAATATGGTCTGCCATATTTAGCATCAATCTATATCTTCTGTCGAGATAAAGATATATTCCATTGATTAGAATAACAGCAGCAAACAGATTGCGGATGGGCTTTGTACCAGCTGCTGCAGTTATTTAATACATCGGCAAGTTTACCGAGTCTTATTTCTGTGGTTAATGCAATATGATTACTGGATAAAGCCATAATTAAATGATGCAATTGTAAGGTTTGTTTCACGGTCAAGGTCATTTTTTTACCGAGATATGATGTTATCACTTGTTTGTTCTGTCAGCAGACTGAAATAAGAAGTTTTTTTGACAAGGAAATTAACTATGTTGCCTAAAGTTAACACTGTTTTCTGGCATTTGTAGGTCTTTGCTGTCATTTTCAGTAAATACAGTAGGCTATTTGATGATTTTGTTAAGAGGTTTATGTTTGGATTGTCTTTTTGGAGGTCACTTTAAATTGAAGACTGGATGGATTGAAAATAAGTTACAATACCGTAATCTACAAGTATACATTCCAAATTTGGTGTTTGGTCTGAAATGTTTGATTGTATTTGCCAGTTGGGCTTCTTCAGAGTTACATGTAACATGTGTAGTAGCCCT